CAAAATAATTCTGCTCTCGTCGGCTAACCGTTTCCCAAGCACACAGCCCAAGCGCCTGTGCTTGCAAATGAGGGAATTTTATTTGGATTAAACGTTCCTGGACTATTGCTGAACCCCAGAGGCAGGCATAGCTGCTGCAGCTCCGCTACCCTCATCCGCAGGGATCCTGCCCTGCTTCCTGGGGAAGCAAACCCAGAGCTGGACAGAGTTTTGCATTGGTCTGAAAAGGGTCACAAATGTCTGCGTGCCAACACACCCTGTGATCAGATCCCTTCGTGCCCATTTGCACCCTCTGGAGTCTTCCAAACTACATCTGTAAAACTGTGGCCTTCTGGGTTTATTCTTCACTGGCGCATGTTCTCCAAAACTCACAGCAAATGACATTTTACAGTTGACCCGTAAATAATTTTCCTATCAGTGTATCAACTTAAATATTGATTGAATCAAGCAGTACGGCCTGTTGATAAAGCTGTTGATAACCTGTAAATGCAATTTGCTACAAACAATGCGTTCTCGAATAGCGGCAAACGTCCTGTCACAGTTACACTTAGACCAACAGGTCATATTGGTTTAACTATACAGAGTCCAGCCCTTAGAAAATATTACCCTTACCAATGTCACATTTGTCTCCGGTCTTCCCAGGTGGGCAAAGGCACTTCCCAGTCTCTGGATCACATGGAGCTCCTCCGCAGTCGCACCGGTGCCGGCACCTCTCTCCAAACCAGCCCCCGTCGCAGCCTGACAGCAAAAGCACCATTTCAGACTCACACTTGAATGGCAAGACGTACGTTAGGCCAGAGTTGTTCCAAGATGTCTCAGAGGAAAGGTCATAAGCTCTCCCCTGAAGCTAGTGTAAATGCCAAGTTTAATGAAGAATCGAAGATAGTGGAATAGGCATATTTATATGAACTCTCTTTATGTCAGGTTTGTCTAATCTAACCTATCAAAGGTATCTGTAAAACCTGTCCCAGAAATGTAACTGGCACTTATTTTCGTTTTTAACTAGAACTCTCTAGAAGCCCATCCCATAACACTCAACAGGTCTGACATGCACCTATTTAATAATCTTATTTGGAGTTTTAGAAGCAAATTTAAAATCAGTAGAAAGAACTTAGACTTAATAAACGACATATGGGACTCATTGCTGCAAGACATCATGGAGACCAGGACTCTCACCATATTAATTGGAACCAGGTTAGTTAATTTATAAGGAAATGAGAACACCCAGCTATGTAACAGGTAAACAAGCCCAAATCTAGTGTTTCAGGATATTCACAAAGCTCAAAACATGGAAGAAATTGCTCTCAACAAACATTTGAGTAATGACATGGGCCGGGGGGTGTGTGTGTGTGTGTTGAGTTTTATTTTGGTTTTTTGTTTCTTTGTTTTTTTCTTTTACACTAGAGGGGTGCAAGTACCTTTCTCACAGAAGACTCCTTGATAACCCAAAGGACAAATGCACTGTCCTGTCACTGCATCGCAGCTCGCTCCGTTTTTACAGGCACATGCATGAAGACAGCTTAGCCCATAAAATCCAAGGGGACACTCTGAAAAACAAAAGTATCGAGCGAGGATGGTTTATGAAGAAAAACACACATCCCTTTAAAATCCTCTGTTTTCTCAGCTACATTCCCTGGGAGCCAACAAAAAAAATATTGGCCATTAACTCTAATAATGCCAAGTGGTTTTGCAGTTGTACCACCCCAGCATCCAAGGTATGCAAGCCACTCAGATCTGGATGCTGCCGGGTGATCTGGGACACCCCAAAAATTTTAACCGAGCCGGCGAGGTGTTTACGTGACTGCTCTGGAGACCAACATCCCCTTACTGTTGGAAAACCCGGGCTGCCCAGGGTGCCTCCACTTACTGTGCTCGCAGGAGCGGCCGTAGTAACCCTCGGGGCATCGGCAGCAGCCCGTGAACCGGTCGCAGGTGCCGTTGTGCTGGCACGAGCAGTCCAAGCCGCAGCCAGACCCGTACTTCCCTGGGGGACATTCTGCTGGCAGGACATGGATTGAAAAACAGACAAACAAACCAACCAAAAAATCACTGACCTCATCCCAAAAAGCTCTTAGGTGACAGTTTGTATAGCGGAGATTTGATGCCCTTTTGATGCAGACCCGAGGAGAACGTTTGTTATGGAATCACAGCATTTCTGCACAGCTGTCATGCACTTAGATATTTCGATGAGAAATCTTTTATAGTATAGAGCTGTTTGAAGAGCAATTTCCCTGTTCTTTTTATAGTCTACCTTTTTTAATTTGTCTCTTTATGTAGTCAATGTTGAACCTGCACCATATATTGTAAAGCCACATAGTAAATGGTATAAATGGTATCTTCTGTGTTTTTTTTTCCTATATCTACAGCAATATTTTCTTTTAGGCACTTAGTGTGAAAGAAAACACGTAGCTTTTCCTCCTCTGCGGTATCATTGGAGTTCACCCTATTCCAATTCCTAATAAAACCAGGAGGATCTCTTTTTCACGCACAGTAACAGGCTTTCCATGTATCATGAGATACCTGCTTTTACAGAACTAAATTCATCTCAAATTACCAAAAACCAAGCCATACAAAAGTGACTGTGCCAATACCAGAAACCTAGGCATCCTTTCTGCCTGAGTTAAATTTCCCACTCCTGTGATAATTGGAATCTGGGTAGACCAACTTGAACGAGCAGGGCCGTCCAAATAATCAGATTCATAACTCAGCAAATGTCAGACAAGATCTTTCAAGAACATCATATCTAATCACTAGAAAAAGGACGCCTGATTAGCTGTCTCCGATTTCCAGTCAAAACACACTCAAACCCACACTGCTGGGGAAATCAAGACTCAAAGTTCTAATAACTTGGCTGTCTCTATCGAAAGATAAACAGTGAAGCTCTTTCTTGTGATACAACACACAGTTCTTTAAGTGCTGTGTGCATGTCTGCCCCCGTGCTTGACACCAGAGATGTTTTATCCAAGCACATCTATAAGAGACACCCACCACCCACCGTTCCACGTGACCCTGCTGAGGCTTTGCAACCCAAATGCAGCCTACGGGCGGTCACACAGACTTCAAGGCACAGACAACTAGAGATGAACGCAGGTGGCCTCTGAAACTGAAGTTAGCCAGTTATTGGTAAAATGCACTTTTTGGGGGGGACAGGGAGGTATTTTAGGGCCTTCCCAGAGCAATGTTCACGTTGTGAGTGGCTCCATGTAGTTGGCATCTTTCCCTTTCTCCCTGCTCCTTCTCTGCACACACGCATGCATGAAGCAGGTCTCCGAGTCTTCTCAGGTGCAAAGTGAAACAACTGCAATGAAGAATTCTGCTAAAAAGTGTCATTTCTATATGATACTTGTATATAGGGACACTCCCCTGTAATGACCAGTACTCGGTAAAGATACATATGGAGTTTGAGGTGGATATTCTAGATGTCAGGGACAGAAAGGCAGTAAATGAGGGCCCAGGAGTGTGTTGGGAAGATCGCACCTTGACAGTTATGATGTAATGATGACATCTGTTTGAATGTGAACTCAGAACTATTTATTTGACATCACACCAGTAAACTCGTGATTTCCTGAACATTTATGCCTGTAACTATACAGATATCTTTTACCTGGAGAGAGAAATGAGAACACAGAAATGCAGAACGATTTTTGGGAGATGGACAGAAAGATGTGGAAAAACTCTACTTCGGGCTGGCAGGAAGGTTTCTGGAGTGAAAACTGAGCTCAGTGTGCTTTGCCTCATGTAAGGGAGAGCTGTCACGGAGAAGAGTAAGGAAGAAATACCAAGACAATCTCAATTGCTTTGGACAGATGTTGTCAGAACTGTACTAGCAGGGAAGTCAATACATGGGAAGTTCAACTGCAGTCCAGTGTCAAAGGGAAGAGAATAACAAGAGAGAACTTAACAAGAGAGGAGGGAGATGTGGGCTTCTGCTTTTTCAGAGGAGAACATGAAAGAAGGTACAAAGCAATGTTCCCACGAACAAAAGACCAAAAAAGTTGGACAGGAGAAGAAGTAAGAGCCCACGCAAAGGAATTTATGAGAACTACGGAGCAGGACTCAGGAGGAAACTGTCTCTGAAAAAAGATCTAAAGCTCTAACTATGGGCAGTTCTAGGTGAGCGAAGCTACAGAGATGAATGCAGCTGGGAGAGAGTCTGCTTAAGCAAAACCTGTCCCCTTCTGTGGGTCTGTAGACACTGCAAACCACTGCTTGAACATACACCTTCACCATCATGAAAGCAGAAAATTACCTTTCTCACACGATCTTCCTGTCCAGCCGAGCCCGCAAGTGCAGTTGCCATCCACATGGTCACAGATACCACCGTTCTGACAGGTACATGTCAGGTGGCAGTTGGGCCCATATTGTCCCTGAGGACACACTACAGAGAATTAACAAAGTTTGGGAAAAAAAAAAAAATTAGCATCCCAAAAAAGGCTGAAGGTGACAGGGAATAAACACAAACACATGCTCCCCACAGAGTATCCCAAGTGCCTGGTGTCTCCCGAGGGCTGTGGGACATTTGACTCCGTGTTTATGAAACACTGGAATGGGTTGCCCAGAGAGGTGGTGGATGCCCTATCCTGGAAACATTCAAGGCCAGGTTGGACAGGGCTCTGAGTAACCTGATCTGGTTGAAGATGTCCCTGATCTGGTTGAAGATGTCCCTTCTCACATCAGGGGGCGTTGGACTAGATGACCTTTAAATGTCCCTTCCAACCCAAACCACTCTACGATTCTTATTAGCAGTTTCATCCAAACACGCTCTGTCTCGCCCTATCTCCTCGCTTGGCTTCACTCCACATTTGCTCCTCTTGCTCTCCTCCCTTTGCCCCATCTCTCAAATCCTTCTTTTCAGCAAATCCCCTCCCTTCACTTTTTCAGTTCAAGTAATTTACCTCTGAATTTAGTCCCACACATCCACAAAGCCCTCACACTACTCATGCTGTGTGGTACAAACTACCCTCTTCCCCATCTTTATGTTCTGTTTGGACTGCAGTCTCTGAAAACAGTAACTTTAGCTTTGTGGAGAAACCAGTGCGATGGTACAAAGCATGATGGAGCAAACCAGCGAGACATGGGCAGGAGATGGAGGTAGGATAAAGGCAGGGTGATGGAGTGGAGAGCACAGCAAACTGCAATGTTATCAAGCAAAGGCATTGGGAAACACAGCCATAAACAATGTTTGTCGCTGAGTTTTTATTTGCTGGGGTTTTTAAGTATGTGCCCAACTGCCGAGATGACCTCGGGTCCCGCTTTGTTACCTTGCTGGCAGCTGGGTCCCATTTGGCCAGGAGGACAGGTACACTTGCCAGTCTGTGGGTCACACTGACCTCTACCACATGCACAGAACAGGGTGCAGTCCTTCCCATATCGGTTTTCAGGGCAAGCTGAAGGAAACACAAGTCTTTTGTTAAACACCCTGGGTATCCAACACCAGTTCTCATTTTTAACATAGGCAGGATCCTATAGGTAGAGTTGGCTTCACTTTTATTCCAGCTCATGTGCTTCAAAAGCAACAGCTTTGAAACCAAACCCCCTCCAAAGACATGACTGCTTCTCCCTCTGAAACTTTACTTGAGGTTATAAATCCAATCCATGGTTTCACGTGGAACACTTAGTAGGTTTCCTACCAGAAAGTTGAGTGTACAACTGAAATATCAGCTGCTCATCCTTCCAGCTAAAGATGTCTGTCTTTCCTTAATATTGATGCTGTCCTATGCTGAAGGGCAAAGCTGAAGGGCTACCGAACATTAAAGCACTGCCTTTCTGTGAATAAGCTGAAGAGAACTTCACAGCTTTGGAAATAGCACAGGAATTCAGCCACACAATTTAGCTCAGAAATAGAAAAGTAAGAGTAGGGTTGCCATGGAGCCTTCACCAGTTTTGCCATGACAAAACTTGATCTTTTTCCCATTTATTGAAACTAATGGCACCATAGTGTTAAGCAAAATATTGAGATAATTTCTCAACCTAGAAATTTTGGACAGGAGGAGGGAACTTGAGCGATTCATGTTGAGCTGACTCTAGAAATAAATTTGGGCAAGCAGGTTGTAATCCTGGGATGAGTGTCCTTGCTTCTACGCACACAGAAGAGAGGGAAAATATTTTGCAAGAGATTTTTTACAAAGCTGGAATCCTGATTTACAATTCAAGGAGGAGGTAGCTGGGATCTGTCTGTTTTTCTACTGACAAGCTCTTAATGCCGATTATTCTCTCTGCTCTTTTTCTGAAAGAAGCAGAACATGGATGTTGGCTTACTTTTACTACAGTCGGCTCCAATGAAACCAGGCGCGCAATCACAAGTTCCCGACGCAGGGTCGCAATGGCCTCCATTCATGCATTTACAGGGGTTTTGGCAGTTTGAACCATAAGTACCTTTTGGACATCCTGTTTTAAAAGAACAAAATAGCAATTAGGCTATGTTGCTACTGGGCCTGTAGCATTTCATGTCATAAGCGCTTTGTTGCTTTCAACCCAAATTAGATTTTCATTTTCTAACTCTATTCACTTCTAGAGGGCCAGGAGTTAGCACTGACAAGCAGATGGTTGCCTCGGGCAATGCACTCCTTGGGGCAGCAAGGCAAGCAAGCAAGACTTGCGGTGTCAACCCCTGAAGAGCCGGACCAACTCCTGCTGCTGAGCCGGCTCCTCTCATTCCTCATACGTGACAGTAGCAAGAAAAGCAAGCCTAGTTCTTCAGAGGTTTTCCTCCTGGATTTCTATTCCACATCAAGCTGTCCCCACTTTCCCTCCCATGGCAGAGATGGAGAGATGAGGCCTTGTTCCCTCTTCCTTTGGGCAGCAACAGCCTGGTTTGACTGTGATGGTGAGAACCCGTGGGCTATCTCTGCCCCTTTTAGTGGTCGTTTTAGCTGACCAGTTACAGAAAGTGGGGCAGGTCTCACCTCTAAAAAAATGTTCAAGTTGAAGAAAGTTTCTTTCCTCTATAATCTACTCTTTCACTTCAAACTGGAGTTTGCATTGCTCTGGCAAATCATAGAATGCTTTGGGTTGGAAAGGACCTTTAAAGGACATTGAGTCCAACCCCCAACCTAGTGGGCTGTGGATGGAAGACATGACAATAATGGGAGATTTCAGGAGACACCTTCTCAGAAGATAGCTGGAAAGGACCTTTAAAGGACATCGAGTCCAACCCCCAATCTAGTGGGCTGTGGATGGAAGACATGACAATAACGGGAGATTTCAGGAGACACCTTCTCAGAAGATAGATATGGGAGAGAGATGCTTTAAGTTCAAAGCCAGAAAATTCTCCGAGAAAAAAAAAAACCAAAACCCAGCTGTATTTTGTAATAACCAGAAGAAACCTTAGACCTGGATGGATTGCTGAGCCAGTGTTACATGGCAACGAGCTGTCCATGCAGAGGTTTTCCAAGTGGTAGCAAGTATTTCTGGTTTCTTTTTGAACTGCTAATATTGAAGGAGCACTGAATACAAGATCAGGAAGACAGGAATGCATCTGCCACGCTCAGCTCGTGTCTTCAAGATATGCTTTAGAGCCATGCAGGCTGGAACTGAGGAAAAGAACTGGGCAGAGCTGCTAGGCATGTGCCACCACTGAACCCTGGGGATGCAGGTTCTTCTCCCAGTTTTCCAGTGTACTGGAAGAGGGAGAAGCTGGTGCTTTTAGAGCAACGTGATCATCATTCAACAGTTACACTACTGCTACTGCCTCTACGCATCATTTCTTTGCTCCTTGCTTCCTTCTCTTCCCCTGGTGAAAGGAAAGCCGATGGCTACTTTGCAAGTCTGGCTGAATGTATATTTGCACGTCTCCAAGCAACAGATCTCTTGCAATCTGTGCATAAATAACTTTATATATTTTCTCTCTTTTTCTGAAGGCATGAAAGCATGGTCTGAGTGGCTGGAGAAATCTCTGGATTTTTTTAACTATTCAGCTGAGAAGGAGAGCTTATGGTGAAGCTTTAAAGGGATGACTTTTAAAATAAAACTGAAAATTGGCTTCTGCTCAAATCGGGATAGCAGATCATCAGGCCTAAACAGATACACACTTTTATAACATGCAGATACTCTCCCCAGCCCTTCTCAACCATGGCTTCTTCTCAATGAACACTTCGTCATCAGTGCCTCCATCTGTCAGTACAGAAAATCTGTTTCATGTGCAAACCCTGGCATCAAGGAGCGAGCCCTGCAACATCTCTCTCATTTCCACCAAGACATGAAGTTAAGGACGCACCCAGATTCAATGATTTAATTGCATTCTAAGTGGGTTTCTCTTTTCCTCCTCCCTTTCCTTTTGGTCATCATTTGGCTTTTCTCTTTTTTAATTCTGTTTCCCACACTCCCAAACATGCCGCTTCTCCCTGGCAAAGTTCTCAGAGTTGTTCCTCCTCTCAAGACTAGCAAGAGCTGTTCCATTACTGCAAGGGATGCAGCAATTCCCCCGCCCTTACCAGTTTATTTATCCTTGCAGCATTTTATTTATTCTGGTTGAACAGGGAGCAGCGCAAGCAGGGCAAACACCAGCTGCAACATTCATGTGATTATTAACGAGGCCATCTCATCTGTTACTGCTTTGCCGGAGCACTTCTATGCAGATAGCTAGGGCAATTTGCACTGTGTCCTGCCATTTAAGTAGGCTCTGCCTTTATAAAGAGGGTTAGCCTCTAACCACCAGTTATCTCATAAAGACATTTTCTAATTTAACAGTTTCCTGTGCATCTGACTTCTGTTGTTTTTTGAGCAAAGCAGGAGCGGCAACCAGATTGCTAACTCATTTCCTGATTTTTTCCTTCTGGTTTGGGTGGGTTTGCCATGACCAAGAGCTCCTAAATCTTTTCATAACAACTGCATACGCGAGGGCTTTTCTTACCAATGTTATTAATTGCATTGTCAAAAAAATGACTTCTGAAGCAGCCTGTCACCTACAGCTTGAAGGTGAAGCTGGTGAGGCCGGCCTGGCTCAGGGTTCACCCAGCCCAGTAACTGTCATGGAGACGTAGCATGGGTTTTTTCATCCATTACACCACCACTTACTGCTTTTTATTCATAACTTCACTCAAGTAGATCTGCCTGTCCACCGAGTTATGGACAATTGATGGGAACCTTATTGCTAGTTTGTCTGCTTCCTCCGGCTCCTGCCAAGAGACTGTTTCAGCTCTTCACTCCAAAATCTGAGAACATGAAAGCCTCGTTGCTCTTGGCTCCTGGAAATTTGACTTCCCAGCCAACTACACCTTTTATAGATACTTTCTTGAACCTTTTTTCACAGTGCTATAAATATAGCAATAGTTGCCAGAAACCGTTTCCAGCAGCATCCAACCACATGTTGACTGGACTGAAGCCCACTTCACGTCTTTGGGAGCGGCTCCCTATGCTGTTTTTAATATTATATTGAAAGCTTCTTCATCCTGGAGCAGCCCCAGTTCTCCCTGTAGTGAGGACGGCAGGAACATGGAGCATTCCCATCAAAGTCACACTAGCTATCCTTGGTTATCACACAGTCACTTCAGACTCAGGTCCACAATCTCTCACTCCACTGACCAAAACCTAAAAATAACTCACACTTAAACTGTTTTCCTTCAGTTTTTGTGTCTGTCTATGCAATGCTCAGAGTGGCATAGCGGAGAATAGGAAAAAAAAAACCCCACATAGATGCAAAAGTAATTTTCACTCTCTGTGAACCTCCACCATTCCATTATCTCTTCCGTAAACTTTTAACAAAATTGTATTTATTAAGTGAGAATTCGCTGTGCAAGACACTGTGTATTTTTGGAATCTAAGAGAACACAGCATCACAAATGATCACAACTCATATGCTATAGGTTTAATCCTAGCTACACAGGAACCCATGGCAAAATCCCCTCTGAATGCAACAAAAGACAGATTTCATTTTGTAAGTAATTTCTTTTACATTAGAACTTCAGTCTAATCATTAATATTTTAAATTTTTAAATTCTGAAGTAAAATCTTAAGTATCTCGGCAAGTTCGAGGACATTTACTATAATCTGTAGAGATTTAGTATTATATGCACAGGTAATGACTACTGAAAGATTGCTACATAAAAGTAATAGGCTAACCATGATTAAGTCCTTTAAAATGTTAAATACTTGATCTCCACTACTGCTCTACTATAATATTTATTATAATCTAATGTATAATGGATCCAGATGGCTCTACCCTGGATGTTGAAGGCTGGATTTCGATCTCACTTACAGTGAGAACTGATGTGCAAAGGAGGACAGAATCAATCCTTACATTTACATTTGGAAGAATAACTTGTGATGACATGACAGCAATACAAATGCTCACCTCTAAAATGAGCCTCTTCCCTATTTCTACTTGAGGAAAAACCCCACAGGTTTAACTCTTACTAGACCTGCCCATATTGCAGCTGGCTTTGGTATCCAAATTGTCACCCAAAAAAGCATGCAAGCCAAACAGAGCCACACTGGGTTCCTAGGAAAGGAAAATCAGCATTTGCCAAAGAGAAAGGTTTGTTGTTTTTTTTTTTCCTTTTAAATTAGACTATTACAAGCCATGGAGTAAAAACAAAATTAAAGTTGTAAATAAAAAGGCAATTAACTGTCTCCTTTTTCGGATACTTTGGTATATGTTTCTTATCAGTTGCCACATTCCACCAGAAACAACTTTACAGATGTTCTAAAACACCGGCGTGAGGCATGTGGATCTGGGAATATTTTTTATGATGGACTGTTTGGCCAGTTGGCATTTTGTCCTCTACACCAGTCACCATTTTTCAATCCAGAGTAACAATTTGTTTAATTTGATTGTTCCTCAGAAGGCCCTACAACCGAAGTGACTTTATGAATCACTTAGATTTATTGCCATTTGCAGCTTGTTGTTTTCTAATAACCATTTGTCCTTCCTTGAGCACGGAGAGATTTCAGGAAGCATTTTGGCTTGGGTATTTGGAAATGAGAGCGCTACACAATATCCAGGTGTAGCTGAAGACGAGAGGTGTACGTGTAGAGAATGAGATTGACATTCTTCAGCATGGCATGAAATTGGAAAGAATTTAGCTAGTAAATGAGTATTTTTAAAATTTTTTTTAAAAATTAATCCCTTGCAATAATACAGGTTATTTTTATTTATTATTTCTTATATTATTTATTAGACCTGGTTTTATTATCATTATATTTAGTTATATATTTACTTTATTATTATTATTATTGTTATTATTACTGTTTATTACGCTTACTGATGCCCAAGTACCAACACAGATGAACTCAAAGCGCAAGCGTGGGCTTCTGCATAACTCGGTCCCCTCTCAGAAAGCGGGCAGCCCACAGGGATACTCACGGAGGTTGCAGTGGGTCCCGTGGTAGCCCGGGCGGCACGCACAGTCGCCAGTCACCGGGTGACATTCCTCATTCTCGGCAGAGCACTGACATACTCGGTTACAGTTCTTACCATACGTGCCCGGTGGACAAGCTTGGGGAAGAGGAAATGTAAACCAATAAATTAAATTTGTCTTGGTAAATATAGCACTCAAACAAAGAGCAAGCTCAAATTTAAAAAATAAAATCCCTGAATTTATTACATTTACTTGGGGGTTACTTCACTGCTTGATTTTGTTTTGTTCAGTCAATTTGTGCCCAACTGTCAAGGGCCACATACAATTTTCTTGTCACCAGAGAAAATCATAGGGAAATGTCAGGTAAAATTGACTAAAATAACAGTATAATTCACGAGGGACCAAGCGTGTGGATAAAGACATTCTACCTTTTGCGGGGAAGTTTAAACTTGCAAAGCTGCGGTAGCACCAACACCCTTACAGGTTTCATTTTGCCTGTTGACGGCCACATTGCCTACAGGTTTTGGACTTTCCACACCTAATGCTTCCATCTCCCTTCCATTAAGTTGACCTGATTGTAGGTCAGGATTTAGAGTCCTTTAGCAGAGGATATGGGACACCAATGTCAATTCTTTTAGTTCTTTTTATTGCTGTTTTTCTTTTTGCTAAAGCAGCTCTCAGGCAAAACATCGTAAGGAAGAACAAAGTCAAAACTATGTAGCCGGGGTCATGGAACGAGCCGGCTTTCAAAGACAGCTCCAGATGGACAAATTCAACATCAAAGAAAAACCAGAAAATGTCATTTCCATGACGCCT